CAGCCACCAGGTGGCTGATTGCAGTGGCCGTTTTCAAACATAGGCCAGAGAGGCAGCAGTCTGAGTTGAGCAGCCAAGGAGGCAACATTGGGCTGAGCTGCTCCTGGAATACCTTGGAGGTAAAGGTGAGGCTATGGGGACAGAGGAGGCCTCATTGCTCCTGGGCATGACCTAAAACTGCACCCTGCTGGGGAAGGGTGGCCTGGCGGGACTGCCAATGGTGAGGCAGCCCCACTCAAATACCCCCATTCACCTCCCTGGTGAAAGGCAGGTTGGGGCGCCTTAATAACCCCTAGCTCCCACAACACCATGGGTACAAGGGTCAGGCACAGCTATGGCCACTTGAGCCCTAGGGGGGGTAAGACCCCAGCAGAGGTGAGGGGCCAGGCATGGCTGTGGCCAACTAAGCCCCCACAGGGGAATGAGACCCTGGAGGCACCAGAGAGGGGGCAGTAGTGGGGCCTGCCCAGAGTAGGGTATGTCTTTACTGCCTGAAGGACTGGGCGTAACTCGAGGTTGAGGAGGGCTGTGGGACAGTTTGAAGAGCAGCCCCAGAGGGTGGGTTGAGCAGGGCTGAACCAGAGTAAGCCTGAAGGACAACACATGGGCCAACCCCCACAAGAGCGTGCAGTATCATAGTACTTAGGGTCAGAAGGGACATAAACGGAACATCAGGTCTGACCCCCTGCCCCGAGCAGGAACGGGCGCCAGGATCGTATCACCCCAGCCAAATGTCTGTCCAGCCTCCTCTTGAAGACCCCCAAGGTAGGAGAGAGCACCACCTCCCTTCGGAATCCATTCCAGAGCCTTGCAGCTCTAACTGTAAAGTAATGTCTTCTGATGTCCAGCCTGAACCTTCTAACAATTTGTGGCCGTTATTCCTAGTAACCCTGGGTGGTGCCTGGGGGAACAGAGCCTCCCCTAATTCTTTCTTCATGAGGAATTTTGGACATTTAAGATCAAATGACATCAATCTCTACTTACAATAGGGCTGCTGAAAGCTACATGTCTTGAGCGTGGAATGTCACTGGCTCCATCTTCCCCTCCTGAGGCAGAACAGCCAGCAGCTGCCTGATTCAAAGACTTGCTGTTCAAAGGCTCATTCGCTGTCCTGCAGCTGTGCTCCTTCTGTTTTGGCATGAGGCTCAAGGAGCTACACAGAGCATCTGCTAAATCCTCACCTTCTAAATCAGCCTCTTGATAGGATTCCAGCCTCTTGGCTAAAGATAATTACAAACAAAATCATGGTTCAGTGATGTAAAAGAATCCATCTTTTGTCCAATACCATAAATCAGACTCTCTGGAAGCTTGGAAAACCAAAGTCAAACTTACAACAAGGAATTGAGCATGTATATTTAAAAATGGATGATGCATTTTATTAAAAGCAAAAGAAAACTGCCACCCAATGAGTATAAGCCATAAATGTGATGCACCTGCAAAAAGACAAATGCAATCTTAAGATGTATCTGAAGAGACAGGGTACAACATAGTGGTGAGACCTCATTAGGAATAGTTTGTACATGTCCAAAAAGGTGAATTAAAACTGGGACAGGTAGAGACAAAGGCTACCAGGATGATCAGGGGAACAGAGAACCTATCATATGAAAGGAGACTAGAAGAGGTTGGCTTACGTAGCTTAAAAAAAAAAAGGCTGAGAGGGCTATAAATGCATCAGGAAAGGAGAAGCTATTAAACTAAAGGACAATGTTATTACAATTACTAATGGGTACAGGCTGCCATGAATGAACTTAGGCTGGAAATAAGAAGGTTCAGAACACAGAGTTTCTGGATCAGCCTTCCAATTAATGTAATGGGGGCAAAAACCTTTGTAAGGTGGAGTGTGGTAAAAGTATGGAGGGGACTGTAATGTTGTGGTGCCCATGGCAGCAGAGCATCAGTTCGTATATACCTGATATTTACCCTGTTAATGACACCAGGTTGAGAACACAAGTACAAAAGCTACTGTGAACATGACTCTAAGGGTCTCTGTGAATTTTGCCCAAAGCTTAAATGTTTAAGGCGGAAAAATGATAAATCAATTTCTACAACTGAAAAACAGAAACCTTCTTTTGTGGCAAGTAAAACCTTGATCATATTTATCACAAGAGGGAAGCCATGCTGAAAACTAAAGGGAAAATGTTGTACTACAACACATACATTCTCTCAGACTTGGGGCTAGCAGGCCTGCAGTTTTGACCTCGCTGTGGCTTAACACATACACGTGACATGAGTTTTGCTTTCAAGACTTTGAGGTGCAGTTTCCCCAAACTCCCTACACCTATCTCCTTGAAACTTGGTAGACTTCATGCCCTTAGAAGGGGCTACCATTCCTGCAAGGTTCATCCAAATCAGGGCAGAAATGACAAAATTATAGGCTGTTTCATCCTTCCCCATTATAGCCTATGGGTGAAACAGCAAAACAGCGTTGAAATGGTGAAACATTTCGACTTGACTTGTTTTTGTTTTGAGACTGTTTCAACAATATCTGGGTTTTTTTCGATTTTATTGTTTTGACCTTGAAACAAGTCAAAACAGTGTCGAAAGAAAACTGGAGGCAAAATCTCACACAGCCCTAGTAGTTACTGCACAATAGTGCCAGCATATGTTTTCTTAGGGATGCTTACTATGCAGTAACCTAATACTACTGCGCAGTAGTGTGTTAGCATGGTTTTTGCCCAGCACACTACTGCACACTGTTATTAGGCTGCTGCGCATTAAGCATCTTATGCAGACACACCCAGAGGGTGTATCTATGCATGCATTTGACCTGGGATCAGTTTACTTGTGAGTAAACTACTCATGAGTAAATGCTTCCAGGCAGGTGTCTATACATGAAGGGATGTAGAAGCAAATTTGCTGCTCCTAGCAGCAAACTGCTCCCACTTCCTGCGGCCCTGCAATGGGCCCTGGCCACTACCAGGGGCAGCTCTAGGTTCTTCCTGGGTGCTAGCTCAGGGGCTGGCAGGGAGCAGTGCACCAAGAGACATATGTCTCCTGGCCAGGGCTGGGACATTGCACTCTGCCCCCAGGGTGCTGCCTGCTGCTGGGGCAGGGACATTGTCCCCCTACCCCAGAAGCAGGGAGCTCCCAGCTCTGGCTCCCTGATTGGGGCAGGGAACTTGGAAAGAGCTGCAGGAGAGGGGCAGGTCCTAGTCCTCTGCCCCAGTCCACTGGCGGGACAGCTAGCAGGAAGTTAGGGGCTCACTGCAAGCTACTCCTCCAGTGAATGGGGCAGGGGGCTGGGACCTGCCTCACACCTGCAGCTCTTTGCAAGCCCCCCACCTTGATTACCTGATTGGGGCATGTGGCTGGGACCTGCCCCTGACCGGAGAACCTGTTTCCTGGTCAGCTCCATGAGCATAGAGCTGGGTGGGGAACAGGCTAGGGAGCTTGTCCTCCTGCTCAACTCTTTAAGTGTGGAGCTGGGTGGGGAACAGGCTCCCCGGGCCCGGAAGCAGGGAGCACCCAGCACTAGCTCTGCCACCATGGTGCCAGCACTGGGAGATCCTTATCTCCCATCACTGGCCCCATGACCATGGAGCTGGTTCTGGGAGATCACGATCTCCCAGCCCCCTCTCCCTGAGTGATCTCGTAGCACAGGGCTTGGAGTCCCTGGGCTTGCAATTTCAGGTAGCAAATTTACTCAAAACTAGTGAGGTTTACTGTGCAGTAACCATGTGCACATGTAGACACACAATTACTGTGCAATAAACTATACTACTTCGCAGTAAAGTGTCTCATATAAATGCACCGGCATGATCCCAGCTTGCAGTATGACTATATTGGCTTGTGTCTCAAGTTGCAATTCACATATTTTTGCAGAACTGTTACCTAGCCAGTTTTTTCCCATTTTTATCTGTGCAGCTGTTTATCCCTATCTAAATGTAGTACTTTGCACCTGTCTTTATTGACTTGGATCCTATTAATTTCAGAGCATTTCCAAAATTTCTGAGATCATTATTCATTCTAATTCTGCTCTCCAAAGTGATTGAAATCCCTTCTAGGTTGGTATACATACATATATAACAAATGTACTCTCTTTCCATCATTCAAGTTATTAAAGGAACCATTGAATAATATAGGATACCAGAGAGACTCCTCACCAAATACAAATCTCAATTCTGCAATGAGCCAGTAATTAATAATTACTCTTTGGGTATAGTGTTCCAACCAGTTATACACTCACTTTACAGTCATTTAATCTAGACCAGGTTTCTTTACTTTGCTTCACATGATACAGCACCAAAAGCTTTATTAGTGTCAAGATATACCACACCTACTTCTCCTTTGTCCTCAGGACTTGTTGTCCTGAAACACGACTTAAAATATTGCCAAGTGACTATCATATAAACAGCATAGCCACTGCTACTATGCACCTCTTTCATCTTCTACATTGGGCAATGAAGGAGCATGTACATGATTATATACAAAGAGTATATATCTGGATAAAATGGCAGATATTCAGAGGAATGCACTAGAGCTTTTTTGCAGGGTTACTCTATCCATCTGAAACATGTGAATAAAAACCCTGTGCAGCATTGCATAAAGCTCCCTCTAAAAACTGAACTGAATTATGGGTTCTTCCCATCTTTGTGTTAAAAGTTAAGGTAAACAAAGTCTCTAGCAATTCAAGGTATAAATGTTTCCAGGTACTTGTTTTGTAATCATGGGAACACAGTATGAACTAATCATAAGCATAGTTAATATATGGCATTTTATGAAGCTAACACTAAAAAACCAAAATGTACACTGAAAACAGATGCATAGTGCTGGGTGCAATGGGTCTCAATCTTTGAGTAGCAACCTTTAGGTACTAATGAAATAAACAGCAGGGCACAGGTACTAAGTAGTCAACCATCAATTTTTTTTGAAAACACAAATATATTATTTTATTTTAGGAGTTTAAAATTCTGTAAGTTTTTTTTTTTACATCTCCTATTGCCTTTCTTCCTTAATGTCTTCTTTATGTATAATGTAACGAAAACACCTGCATCACTATATCTACTCTATACAGTGGAGTAGATTCTCAAAAGATGCAGAAATTATGTTAGGACTTCTAATTGAGTGTGTCCCTGTGACTTTGAAGGAAGCTTTGTCAGTGAGACCACCAGGCAGTATATCACTTGCATAATGAACTGTTAAATCTAGATTGCCAATACCAAGAAATATCTTGATACTGCATTACAAATCATTAACTGCTGTTATCTAGCTTGCGTCAGTCCTCCTCAATCTTATGCAGAATATAAGCCTTGCCTACTGCTTAAATAGTATATTTCTATAGCATTCAGTATTACTTAATAGTACAAGCACCAGGTAAGTGAACTTCACTGCATTCCTGTATTTTTTTGTTCTGATCTAACTAGATAGTAGAATATATCACTCAACAAATTGAATAAAGGTGTCTCTAAGGCTACAGTATATGTAATTTCCTGCTCTTCCTAGAGTTGAATCTTGTTTTGTTTTTATAGGCACCCCTGGAATCAGTAACTTTAAGATATATACAGCATCTCATTAATATATTGGACACACAGCATTGAAAATTCAGTACACAGGCTGCTGCAACATCAGTTAACAGTGTTTTCACCTATTTTCATATAGCAGTTAACAAACATGTTAAACAAAATGAGCTACAGTGGAACAGCAGGTCTTTGAAACCTAATAAAAAATCATCAAATTAATATACACATCTGGTAGGCTTTCCACTGAAATTGCTTGTGAATTAAAACTAGAGAAGTTATTAGGGCCTTGATTCAGCAAAGTACTTAACAACTCTCATGCTTAAAGACAGGTATATGCTGAACTGAAGTCTAAACAATGCTCCAGAAAATGAAGAAAGATTATTTCAAATCTGTGCCATGCTGGTGAATTGAGGATTTGTATCCTAAAATGCTGTGTGGAGTCTGGTCACATAGGAAAGTGCACAGGTTATTTGCACACTTTCTTAATTACATAGTTTTCAAAACTACATGGTGAGAAGCAGAATGCACTAATGCGATTTCATTTGGTCAGAGAGAAAAACACTGTTATATTGCACACTAAATATTTTTGCATTGTACATGACTATTAGCATAACGGATCCTGTAAACAGATCACAAGACTCATCAGAGATAACATATATATGTGTAAGGATGTCAATACTAGGCAAAGTATAGCTGCTGATAGCACTGGCTGACATGCCCTTCAACTCAAACTACTGTACATGTGTGCTGCCTAGTGGACAAAAATGTACCCCACCCAGTTTAAACTTTTGCTTTCTGCACGGATATACCAATAATTGGCTGCTGACACATTGTTTTAGTTCTTACTGTTTTCCTCATGGCAGTATTCATGTCCTGCAATGCTGCATCTTCGGAAAACCATTTTGTTTTCAGTGAGGGTTCCAGTCTTGTCAGAGAAGATGTACTGGATTTGCCCAAGGTCTTCAGCAATATTCAGTGCTCGACACTGAATAGTGGAATCCATTTTCTCATGGTAAAAATCAGTATCATTCTGAATTAAATAGATCTGCCCCAATTTGACAATTTCAATGGAAACATATAAAGAAATAGGGATCAAAACCTGTCAAAATAAAATGAGGGGATTAAATTCAACTAGTTAATCAGCTAACGATTTAAAGTCAAATTACTAGTGCAAATCACCAGTGCTTATCTGGAGTAACTCCAATTAAGTCAAAGGAGTTATTCCACAAGTATAAATGAGAAGAGAATTTGGCCCAGGTTCTTTAAGGTAGACTGAAGTTACCTGTAATAAGATGATCATTGTCCAAAACATATAGAATCCTGCCAATGCTGGTGGAGTTGATTTTCCATCTGGCTCAGGAATGTTAAAAAAAGGCATCTCTGAATAGCGACTTAACCAAAGTCCATGACCTTAAAAATGGTAACAAATTGAAAATGAGTGAGCTGTATGTCTGCTGGACCATAGTTGAGTATCACAGTAACTGCTTGAAAGAAGAACAGGTATCACTATGTACTGGCCTTTAAAGCTACCAGATGTTATCTTTTTATATTTTCTCAAGAAAAAAGCTTTTTCTCCACATTGTCTTCTTCTAAACTGTGAATCAAAGTTTCTTGGGCTGTATCAACAGCACACACGTAAGACTTTAAAAACTTAATTAACCCATCAACAATCAAAATTCTATTTAATTCATCCATCAACAATATACCAATCAACAATCTGATGTACAATATTGGGTACAACAAATAAGGCTCAACCCTGGGTTAGCTTGCTTGGATGACTCCCTTAGTTTAGGAAACAGTGGGTTGACAGGCCACCAAGACTACTTAACAGCTTGTAAAACAATGTGCATAGAAAGCAGTTTGTATCTAAATTATAAAATTGGCTATATCAGGAAATGTTTAAAAATCCAACTTTAAAAACTGTTACAGCTAATCCAAGTGGGCTACTGATATAAGACTCAGGTCTGTTCAATGTAATCTGAAGTTTTCAGGTGCCATTTTAACTAACCTACTTATTTTGATTTATTATAAAAAATGTCCTGTTCAGACTCAGGGTGCAAGCTCAGATTGTAACCAACACCCAAATGTGAAACCCTCCAGAACCATACACATTGGGCTTTTCCTTCTTTGTCATTTCATTTTCCCTGAAAAAGCTAAAAATATATAAGCTCTGGAATACTACCAGTTAGATCAAAAGAAGACTGATTGGAGAAGCATGTTCCAGATTTGAAGGCTTTTCAGAAAAATAGTACCCCTCCTCTCCTCTCCCTATTAAATTAGAGATTACGAACTCAAATACAGTATATGTCTCAACTGGTTTGATGTTATAAGGGAGAGAAGGCAGTTTCTGAGGTATCTGGTAAGAACACCACTTTTTCTGCCTGCAGAATTTATCTGAATAACAGTGTCTCAGCTGTACAGTCAGTACAACAGTTTTAAAGTTGAAAATGCTTTTTTGGCATACAGATTTTATAGTGTAGATAAGCCTCAGTCTTCAACTTTCAGGGCATGGGTTTACTGTTATTGAAAGTAATTCACTTAATGTTTTCCAGGTCACTTTTTTGAAACAGCCTTCTTATAGGATGAGTGAAAGAAAAATTAGTTTTAAGATGGAGCTTGATAAATTTATGAAGCCGGTTATATGATATAAATGTCTGCAATAGAAGTGGACTGAACTAGATGACATATGAAGTTCTTTCCTGTCCCATGTCTTACATCCATTCTTAAACAAATTATTGGTTGGTAAAAAATTGGCTTCCTAGATTACTGAGGGTATAACTTATACTAATACCCCAGCAGACTGACAACATTAAGTATAAAGCCCTGTAAAACTGGCAGGAAAAAAAAGTACTAGTTTGTAAAGTATACTTTACTTACCCAAAGCACCAATTAAACACATCAAAATTAGAAGAAGAACACACCAAAGGATATCAGTATTCAGCCTCCTTTCCAATTTACTGCGTTTGTAACGAGGGCCACTGTTGTTTAGCATTGCTTTGGTTTCATGACCTGTAATATGCAGGCAGATAGGTAAACCAAAATTCAAATATTTTGAAGAAAGAGAAAGGTGAATGTTTAGTATTTATCAATTAATTAGTATTTGAACACAGATTGCATTCTTGGCCAAGGCAATTAACTGCTAGGACAATGCATTTTATTAATTCTGCTCTCAAAACAAAACAAAAATATAAGTTTTTGTGTGGCCATGTGTGTCTTAAATCAATAATTTCCCTCCTAGCTCTTGAAAGTTGCACTCTGGAGCTGAATTATTTTTCTCTACATAAACATTAGTATATGGTAAAGGTACCAGATCGGGAGCTCTGGATATGTTTGTCCTCTGTCACAGAACGGACACAGAAAAGGCAGCAACAGTGAAGACCCTGAAAGGTCTAAGAGCATTCAGTCTCCAGGCCCATTCCACTCCTTAGGCTTTCTTCTGAGTCTACCAACAGTTCATGCTAACTGCTATGTGGGGGAGATAAGAGACATGGGAGAACTCTCTACGTGGATCTGGACTGACCACCACGCCCAGCTGAGATGGCACAGCAGGTATAAACTATGAGAGAGAATACGCTTATTTCAGATAACCTGCTGAACAGCCACCCATTAGAAGTTCTTCTAGCTAAAACTGACTTGAACTAGATTCAAAATAACAATCGAAACATTTAAGACTCAATTTCCCACTCTTCTTTTTCAATTAGCCTGGCCAGATGGGGTTTTCTATGTGATCTGCAGTGACTTCTGCATAGGGGTTCATCCCCAGACTGGCTAACAGTTGAAGGCAAGTCTTTTACTTATCTGCTAAGTTACCATACTACTTCTTATGGTAGGTAAGCAACACTATAAGAGGACATCTTGAAGAAATTATGTTTCCATGAAAATCTGTGTAACCCACCAGGTTCACTAACCTGCATACACCACAATGCCCACAACAGCTTCTGTGTTTCTGATTGTGCATCCTCGCATTATCAAGTTTTCTTTACTGAGGCCCACTCTCTCCTTGTTTGAATGTTCACTGCAAAAGAAGTGAATTATTTAGTTTTACTTCACATGTATCTTGGACTTCCCCAAAGTGTGTTAAAAGCTTTCTGGGCCAGATCTTCCAAAGTATTCAGAACCAGCAGCTCTGATTGGGTGTTTTTACACATGTTCGGGGGGGGGGGGGGGGGGGGGGGGGCG